TTCTGAGTCTGCTGTTGCGCAATCTCCTTGGAGTAGCCGCCTTCGTCCGCGTGTGCCTCTCACCTCACGGCAGCTGCACGACTGGTACGGTCGCCGTCAGGGTCGCGCTTCTGGAGCTCGAGGCTCTGCCGCTAGGGGTACTTCTGCTGACGTCACTGGAGCTGGGAGTGGTGCTGGTCCCGGAGGTGCTCGTACTGAAGGTACTGGAGCTGCTGGGGCTGGAGGTGCTGAACCTGAGGGTGTGGCTGCTGGAGACACTGAGGCTGGAGACCCTGGGACTTGAGGTGCCAGTTCTGGGGGTGCTGCTGCTGGTGGAGCTGGTTCTGGAGGAGCTGGAGCTGAGGGTTCTGGAGCTACTGGAGGTGCTGGTGCTGCTAGGGGTGCTTGAGCTGCTAGTGCCGGTAGCACTGCACAGCCGTGCCTGTTCTTTGCTCCACCGTCTCCGTCGTCTCAGCCACCGTCTGACTCTGTGCTTCGTCAGGTTCTTAGTCTCCCTTCGTCTACTGGTCTTCCGTTACAGCCTGGCTCAAAAGCTGCCTGCTCCTTCTCCTTACACTGAGCAGACAGGGGGTCTTACTGAGCGTCGTGAGCCTGCGTCGCGTCCTGTCTCGCCTGTCCGTTCTGGTCGTTCCGGTCGTCGTGTTCCTCGTTCGCGTCAGCCGGCTGTATCCGGCACCCACCTTGTTGTCCGTCGTCCTTCATCTCCTCCGCAGCGTGTTCCCCTGCCGTCCCCTATTGCGTCTTCTCTGCCTACCGTTCCTGAGCCTGAGTCTGACCGCACCCGTGCTGCTCACCCTACTGTCACGCGTCTGCTAGCCACAGTTGTCACTGACCCGTCGTTTGAGTCTGCTGATGCGTCTGCCTTGGTCGCTGAGCTTGTTGACTTTGCTGCTGCCTGTCGTCTAGACTACGCCGCTAGTCTTGTTTCTGAGTCTGAGTCTGTCTGTCCTCCGTCCGTCGGGGGTGAGTGTGCCCTTAGCACGGACGTCCTTGAGGACAAGCAGGAGGACCTTGAGTGTCTTGCAGCCGCTGTGCCTCATCTCGTGTCCATGCTGCTTGCCCCTGAGGGAGACCTGGATGCTCCAGACATCCCGACCCCGCGCTCTTACGCTGAGGCGATCGTGGGTGAGTACTCTTCTCAGTGGCTGACAGCCATGGACGCAGAGATGGCATCCTGGAAGTCTACAGGCACATACGTCGACGAGGTTCCCCCTCCTGGGGCGAACATCGTCAGTGGCATGTGGATTTTCAGGGTGAAGCGGCCGCCAGGTTCTCCGCCTGTCTTCAAGGCTCGTTACGTTGCTCGAGGCTTCAGTCAGCGAGAGGGAGTTGACTTCTTCCAGACCTTCTCCCTTACCCCGAAGATGACCACTCTTCGGGTGCTGCTGCACGTTGCCGCTCAGCGTGACTACGAGCTTCACTCTCTTGACTTTAGCACAGCCTTCTTACAGGGCAGCCTGCACGAGGAGATCAGGCTGCGCCGCCCACCTAGCTTCACTGGGTCGTTCCCTCCTGGTACCCAGTGGAGCCTCCGGCGGCCGGTTTACGGTCTCCGCCAGGCGCCACGTGAGTGGCACGACACACTGAGGACGACACTTGCGGCTCTTGGGTTTACTCCGTCGACTGCTGACCCGTCGCTGTTTCTTCGCATTCGCTGCCGCCGTTCTACATCCTCGTGTACGTCGACGACTTGGTCTTTGCCACTGCTGACACTGAGGCTCTCGCCCTGGTGAATTCGGAGCTGCAGAAAAGACACACGTGCACAGACCTGGGTGAGTTGCGCAGTTACCTTGGCTTGCAGATCACCCGGGACAGAGCACGCCGTACCATCACCCTGACTCAGTCACACATGGTGAAGCAGGTCCTTCAGCGCTTTGGCTTCACCTGGTCCTCAGCACAGCACACTCCTCTGGCTACAGGTCACTCGCTCTCAGCTCCACCTTCGGACGAGTCCGTAGAGCTGAGTGGTCCTTACCCAGAGCTACTGGGCTGTCTTATGTACCTGATGACCTGCACTCGTCCTGACCTTGCGTACCCTCTTGGCCTTCTAGCTCGCTACATGGCTCCTGGTCGGCACTGAAAGGTGCACATGGATGCTGCTAAGAGGGTACTGCGCTACATGTGCAGTACATCGGGCATGGGGCTCGTACTTGGAGGGCGGAGCTCAGTTGTCCTCACTGGACACTCAGACGCTTCTTGGGTTGACGACCAGGCTACACAGCGGTCGTCACAGGGTTACACTTTCAGCCTTGGCTCCGGTTCTGTTTCTTGGCGGTCTACACGCTCGTCTTCTATTCTCAGCTCCAGTTGTGAGGCTGAGATCTACGCCACAGCTATGGCTGCACAGGAGTTACGCTGGCTCACCTACTTGCTGACCGACCTTGGAGAGCGGCCTCGTTCTCCTCCAGTTCTGTACGTAGACAATAAGGCCGCCATTGCCTTGTATCAGGAGCACAGACTGGAGCACAGAACGAAGCACATCTCTCTGCATTACTTCCTGGCTCGAGAGTTGCAGCAGCGGGGTCAGCTTCGCCTTGCTCACGTGGCCATTCGGGCCAACACTGCTGATATATTCACCAAGGCACTTCCGTCTGGTGACCATCAGCGCTTTTGTACTTTGTTGGGCCTTGTGCCTACGTTTCCACACTTGCTGTAGTCTCTGCTTGTACTGTGATCTATATGTATATATATACCTGCATGCTTGCTCTTGCTAGATAGAGATCACTGTGCTGTTCTTGTTGCTTATATACCTCTGCATGTGGACTGGTCTTGTGACCATTGCTTGCTCTGGCTACCGTATTACCCCGGATATAGGCGCATATGCGCTTATAATAAATTCATTTTTTTTAGGGGGGGCGCTTGTAATTGAGTAACGGCCATAAGCGCCAGCGCTTATATAATGACAAATACGAAATTATATATTTAGAGCACCAAATTGTTCATTTTCTTCTTGCCATTTCAACCGAGTCGAAGTGTTTTAGCGTCACAAAACAAAATCTCGCGCAAGCGATACTCTGGGTGCACACACAGGCAAAGCCACGTCATGCCAGCAGATCCTGACTAGACGTACAGCCAGTCAGGTCTTCGCGAGTCAAACAAAGCGAAATTGAAATCTGACTCGCTGCAAAAATGAATTTCGTTACTGTTTTAAGAAAGAATTTATATTAAAATTGCACGTGCGCTTATAATAAGTAAAGGTTTTCTAGGGGGGGCGCTTATAAATCGAGGAACGGCCATAAGCGCCATGCTCCAGATAGAGCAGGGCCTCAGATTGGTTTTTGGGTACCCTGAGCACTCAGTGTCTCTAGGAGGGTAACACTGATTTTCAGTGTCGTCTAGTGTGAAACACTGATTTTTCAGGGTTGTTAGAAATAAAACGCTGATCAATCAGGGTTTCTAAAACTTCAACACTGATCAGCATAGTTGCTTATACTGGTATGCTTTCAGACTGCCCTCACTTTACAATTCCCAAATTCGGCCAAAATTTTGCTATTTCCGTGTCTGATTGGTCAGAAATCTTGTCTGACCAATCGAATAGGACAATTGTTAACAACTGTTTCCGATCTCTGGTTGTGTACTTGACTGGTGATTCGGACTTGGTTCGTCACAGCAGATTCGCCCTGACAGCAAATTCGACCTTGCACAGTCGTTACGCGCTGTCGCAGCACAGCAAATTCGCCCAATCACAGCAGATTTGCCCTGACACTGCAGCAGATTCGCCCCTCACACAAGAGATTTGCCCTGTCAGAGCATGTTTCGCCAGAAATCCCCTTGGTGCACGGTGCACGGTGACGGCGGGCCAAAACAAGGAGTTTTCGGTTTCAGGGTAGACCCCGATACAACACTGACTCGTCAGTGTCCTCAAACACAAAACACTGGAAAATCAGAGTTCGAAATTAAAAAACACTGAAACATCAGGGTCGTTGAAAAAAAAAGGCTGATGCATCAGGGTCATGATAAAAAACGGGGGTCAAACTTCAGGAATTCAGGGTAAAATTCCTGACATCTGAGGCCCTGAGATAGAGGCGCCGGCGCCTTTAATCGGACGTCGCCTATATCCGTGGCCATACGGTATCCCCCATTTCGCCTATGGGGGTGTGTCAAAACATATGCATATTATTATCTAGGCTATATTGGGGCTAGCCTTAGGGGGTACAGAAACATTCTCGACACTCTAGTTTTGTACCCCAACCTTTACCTAATCACTCCTTCCCATGCCTACATTATAAGAACTGCCACTGCTTCTAAGGCGCCTCAAGCACCGCCGCCTCACACGCTACTCCTTTTCAAAGAGAGCCCTTGCTGGCCGCCAAGCTGCCATGGATGGATACCAGTTGCTAGTGTAGGATTGCCAAGGGTTTACGGCCATGCAGGAATGATGTATATATGTAGTACCCAAGGAATTACTTCCGCACGGGATATTACGGTACTCGCTAAGATATTCCCTGAATTTGAAGTCCTTGTTCCCTAGCTTGTTTGTTTGTTTTGATTGGAAAGGCAAGCTTTCTTTTCCTTATAATTGAGCATCGTTCTCATTGTTGAATTGTGCGCAAGCTGAAGAAAAACGTGCTTCGCACAATAGGCTTAACTGTAGTGTGTTTAGGTCCCTAGGTGTTTTTTTCCTTGAGGCTCTTCCTCTCTTCTCTTTCCGTCTTCCTCTTGCCCTTTTCATCCTTCTCTTCTCTTATTACTGTTATGAGCAGCAGTACCGTAGTATTTGGTCATTTTGGGAGGAGTATGGTCAAGTAGCTTGCACTGCAGGAAGGGTCCGAAGGGTATTGCCATCTTGTTCACTGGGCTTGTTGTTAATTCCACCCAACTCGGCACTCAAGCGAACCTCTCGTGCATACGACTTGGCCTAGTCCGAGTAAGGGCCTACAGAACAGCACCTTAAACTCCCTGGACACAATTGCAAAGACAATGAGCAGCATTTATTTATATCTTGTAAGATATGATACAACATGTTTGGTTATCCTGCTGCTGCAAATGTCCATCCTCCCTCATCCTTGTTCTTTCTCTAACTGCTGCTGCACTATCAGTCCCAGCAACGCCTTTTGCAACTCCCTGTCACGCACCTCCTTGCCCAGGGTGTGCCACACATGTCTGATCATTGCTCCCTGTGGCCCGGTCATTTCTAAGTATGGCAGCACCACCACCTGCTCGCGCCATCTCTGCGCCACCAAGTTCATGGGCCTCTGGTCTCCGAATTCAGGGAGAATGGCGTCGTACCACTCCTGTAGAAACTGCCATGTGGTGAAAGAGAAGGGGGGGTTGTTAAGTACAGCAGCAGAGGAAGGCGGGTTTGAGATGTCGGCGAAGGGGAGAGAAGGTGAGGCACGGTAGAGAACAGAAGTGTGACAAGGTTGCAGGGAATGGGGCAGGAGATAGGGTCTGGTTGGAACGATTTTTACACGTAGACAGAACGGGAGCACAGGCTAAGCATACACGAAACCCCAACCCACAAGATATGCCGCATGGTGCACACACACACCTGAAAGCTATCATTGGAATGGCTCATAAGAATTACTCCCGCGTTGAGGGAGTCGAATTCCGGGTGGAAGAGATGCTGGGGGTCTCCGTCGTACCCCTGCTGCCCATCGCCATTGCGTGCCACCACCATAAACGGCACCTTCTCCTTGCCTCCTGCAGGCAAGCCTGGCTTGTGCGACGACTCAGAAGGCTGCTTGCCTGCAGCAGCTGAGCTTGAGCCTGCATCAGGGGCTGCTGAGGCGAGGGGTGATTGCAGGAGTCTCCGTGAGGCAGAAGGGGCAGCTGTAGAGGAGTTTTTCTCCTGGGAGTTGCCCTGCTTGACTGCTGCTTCCTCGCTCTGATTTTGCTACGCATGTTCTTGCTGTGGTTTCTGTGCCTGCGCCTGCGCTTTCTGCTGCTGCTGCTGCTGCGTCTGGCGAGCAGGTTGCAGGGGTGGGCTGGGAGCTGAGGGTTGCGGGTTGTCCTGGCGTGGCTGTGGGTGGAGCACTTGATCGAACAGGTGCGCATTCACCATCTGCCCCTCCAGGTGCGTGCTTGACTGATTCACCAGGCGATCAAAGTAGCCCTGCACACACCGAAACACCACACACACCGCACCACCACACGCACCGAATCACCTCACACCACCGCACTCCACCACGAACACATAGTCCAGCAGAAGAAAGGGAGGTGACTTCTTGGTGGACTCGAGAGCAACAAATAAAGGCATCCTGCAAGGTTTGGGAATGGGAGAAGAGCTGCAGGTGATAGCAGGAGCGTGCAACTGGTGCCCGTGGGTTGGTGCGGAGCAGTGTGTTTGAGTTGTGGACAGACAAGGTACTAATAACTTTGTGGCCTGTGTGTGGAGAGAGAAAGGGTGAGAGTGGCTGGGAGAGGATTGTGGCAACCAGAGAGGGAAACCGCAGGTTGTAAGGTGGTGCGTGCGAGTGTGCATGCGCGTGTGTCGCTGAGAGTGGTCACGAGTGGTCGAGAGCGGTTGAAAGAGGGCGAGAGTGGTTGAAAGCCGTTGAGAGCGGTTGAGAGCGGTTGAGAGCGGTTGAGAGTGGTTGAGAGTGGTTGAGCAGAGGTCATGAATGGTTGAGAGCAGTTGAGACCGGTTGAGAGCGGTTGATAGCGGTTGAGAGTGGTTGAGTGCGGAGCAGGCTGCCGGAGCTCACCCGCTTGGCGGCGCGAGCGGCCCAGTCCTCGACGGAGAGGCGGTGGCCGTCCATGCGCAGGTACGCGTCCGAGTCCACGTATAGCGCCCACCGGCAGCAGCACTGCAGCGCGTGCCGCAGCAGCGTCACCTGCGTACGCGCCCAGGCACGGGAGGCAGGGGAGAGGAGGGTGAGTGGGGGGAATCGGAGACGTAGGGGAAGGAGGGCGAGGCGCGGGGAGGGAGGGTGACCCGGGGGGGTGGGAGAGACGGGCGGGTGAGGTGGTGGGTGAGGTGGCGGGTGAGACGAGTCTTTAGTCATGTGACATGGCACAGTCGAAGCATCAGAACAGTAGTAGAGAATGGTAAGCAGTGGTTGTACCTTGTGCCACGTGGCTTTGCGCGAGAGGTTGTAGCCGTCGTAGTAGGAGTCGAATAAGAGATACCCGTGTCGCTGCGCATACATCCTGCCACGAAATGCACGGATTTCCGTCATACCCGCCGCACCCAGTTCCCGATTCCCCGGGATCAAGGGCCATCATCATCTTCATCATCATCATCATCATCATCATCATCATCATCATCATCATCATCATCATCATCATCATCATCATCATCATCATCATCATCGTCGTCGTCATCATCGTCGTCGTCATCCTCATCGTCATCGTCATCATCATCGTCATCGTCGTCGTCGTCGTCGTCGTCGTCGTCAGCATCATCATCATTCCCCCGATTCCAAGCGCAACCGCAGGAGGGGAACAGAGAGGACATTGAAATATTACTACTAGTGACAGTAAGGGGCCAGAACATCATCGCAGCAAATAGCGGTCGGACAGTAAGGAGAATCAAATCATCGCTTCGTCTACAAGCCTTCAATCTCGGTTACGACTCGCTGATAGTACGTCGTGGCGCCATGCTGCTACGACTACTACAAACTTGCAGCTTCATCCCAATTCTGCTGCTAGCGGTCCTCACTTGTTGATGATTCGAGACGATTCGTAGTACGGTAGCTGCGAAAGCCATTCGAAATCATATTCGGCGACGTCCGCGATTCTCCCGCCGGCCGCCGCCGCCGCCGCCGCCGCCGCCGCCGCCAGGCCCTTAGCGGCTCCAGGCTTGGTGGCGGCGGAGGCGGCTACGGAACGATTATCTGAGTATAGGATGCACCCGGGCCGCATTTGTGGCGGTACTGCTGCTAAGCGCGCTTGCGGCGAGTCGGGATCCGCCGCAGCTGTGGAAATCGCAGACGAAGCCGCGTCGCAGCTGCCGCCGACGCCGCCGGAGGTGGTCGCTACTACTAAAGCGTCGCAGGGCGACGCGGTTTGCGACAGTCGGAGGATTGGCGAGTGGAGGAAGATGAGCGAGGTGATGAGCAAGGCGGCGATGAGCAGGTTCTTCTGGTCGTGCCACATGACGGCCATGCCGCGCGGCGTCACGAGCAGCATACCCATAAAACTTCGCGGCGCGACCGTGGCGGCTTGGAGCGATGAGTGAGCTGAGATCATGGGGCTGCTGCTGCTGCTGCTGCGGAACCTGACTGCGCCAGCAGAGACACGCAATACTAGTTCGACAGCCACTGCCAAAGTAGTAGCTGTGGCGCACGGGCTTTCGCGAGAACAGGCGGAAAGTACCTATCCAGAGGAGTCGTCAGGACAGTTTCGCTGGATCTTGTTGAGTAAACGGGGTTCTTGGAGCAAACGACGGCGACTGTTTGAGAGGGGCTTCAGTTGTACCTGTACTGGTAGGAAGCGGCGGCGCCCTATTAGCAGGCCAATAACGGAGGACGAAATGAGTTGGGATGGGAAGGGAGCAGTGAATCGTGGGTGAAGAACCCCTGAACTGTGTAGGTCCGTCTGAAATGCAAGTCCTCGGAGGACTTCCATTCAGGCAGGGACCATTTTCAGATGTCTGCATCGTCACCTCACTCGCTCCTGGGATCGCCTAGAGAGAGTTGCGCCTGGGGAAGGTGAAGTGTGGCACCTGAAGGAAGGAAATTGGTACAGTATGTGCACGAAGTGCGGCGAATGGTTGGAAAAAGGAGGACCCAAATCCTCTATGAACGGTCCGAAATACCTGCCCGATTGGAAGGTGGTGTGCTGCAAGGTGTGTCCAGTCCGCAACCAGACTATTCCCACCAAATCGTTTTGTCGCTTTGGCGAAACGCTGTTCGAGCGCTTTGGTCTATTTGTTTAGGAATGAGTCAGTTGTGGCCGAAACCAGGAGCTCAACGAGCTCGCTAATCCCTTCAATCCCTAAATCAGAGAGAATTGCTCCACTGCCTTGTTTGGTGATTCGCTCTTGCCCACGTGTCCCCGAATTGCTCGAGTGGCCATCCAATTCAGTGATAATTGCTCGAGTGGCCATGCCAGGGCATCGATGTGTTTTTTTTCCCTGGCACATAACCCTAAAAGGGTTCGTACCCACGAAATTCCTCGTTCGCACAATAGTAGATGCGCGGTCATTTTCGGCCCAATGCGCGACCAATGAGCGCGCGGGCAATTACATCAGCGATCATAAACTGCAACGCCAGAGCATAAATGCACGAACATATTATTGACCGCGCACGATTGGTCGATAATATGTTTCTTGCCCTTTTTGGCAATGCGCGTCTAATCACGCACGGTCATATAATTCACGACCATATATTTAGGCGATAGAGCTTCGCCCAACAACCAATATGAGCGCGCATATACTACCATTAGTTCTATCATATGTCCGGTCCATATAAAACCATGCATATCAAATGCCATACATATATTCTCTGCTATTAATTTAAGCCTGTCGTACTAGAAATAATATTGTATCGTGGCCTATCATAATATTAAGCCCATCATACCGTGGTCCATAATATTGTATTGCCGGTAATATGGTTGCAGAAATAATATGTTTGGCAGCATAATATTAATTTAAGCCCAGCATAATATGCTGCCACCACGGTTATGATGGGCTTAAATTAATAGCAGAGAATATATTTATGGCATTTGATATACATGGTTTTATATGGACCGAAAATATAATAGAACTAATGGTAGTATTTGCGCGCTCATATTGGTTGTTGGGCGACCCTTTATCGCCTAAATATATGGTCGTGAATTATATGACCGTGCGTGATTGGACGCGCATTGCCAAAAAGGGCAAGAAGCATATTATCGACCAATCGTGCGCGGTCAATAATATGTTCGTGCATTTATGCTCTGGCGTTGCAGTTTATGATCGCTGATGTAATTGCCCGCGCGCTCATTGGTCGCGCATTGGGCCGAAAATGACCGCGCATATACTGTTGTGCGAAGGAGGAATTTCGGGGGTACGAACCCTTGTAGGGTTATGTGCCAGGGAAAAAAAACACCTCGAAAATGCCCTGGCATGGCCACTCGAGCAATTATCACGGAATTGGATGGCCACTCGAGCAATTCGGGGACACGTGGGCAAGAGCGAATCACCAAACAAGGCACTGGAGCAATTCTCTCCCCTAAATCAGCTTCCCAAACAAGGTTACGTACGTACCCACCATCTCGGGGACATTGCATGGCGTTTTGGAGGCAAGAAAAGAAAACTGACTGAAATGTTTGCATTGCAATTGGAATTCTGCAGCTGCCAGCCTGCCATCCCCTTGCCACTGTGCACGGGAGGTCCCCGATTCTGGCGAAATGACGAAGAGAAGTGCTGCTTTCGCGATGGCTGGTACACCTGGTGTAGACGAATGTTCGTTGTTCCTGTCGCGGTCCGAAACACCTTAGAAGTGTTGCCACGCCGCTACGGACAAAAAACAAGTGTTGCCACCTTGGCATGGCGTAATCGACAGAAATTTCCAAACGTGGAACTTGGCAGATCTTTCGAACTTCAAAGGAAGTCAAAAGTTCTGACTAGAATGTACATATAAATGTGCGAGGGGTTTGAGTAAATCAGATCGCATTAGCTAAATCAGATGACCACTTCAAATTCCTTGAGGAATCTCGCATCCACAGCACGGTATGTTAATTTTTTCATATCGGTCAGGTGTGAGAAAACTTCAGCACAGTAACCAACCAGAGGTGGAACAAACGGCAGCTGGAGGGGTGGCAGGGGTGTGGTTGGGCCGTTGTCGAGTAGCGAGGTAGAAACAAGCAAACAAAATAGCAACCCTGTGGGGGTTTTATGTGTGCTGCATTTGGGTTCTTTTTGGCAGTTTCATTTCAACCCACAATTTTTGCATGGGGGTTCGGGGCGGGTCGCGTGAGTAAGTTTGAATGCACTTGAAAAAGGCTCTGAATGGTCTAGAGCGGTCTGTTTCAAAAAACAAAATAGCAACCCTGGTTGAGAAGTGTTACGAGTGCAATTGAGTGAACGAACGAGAATTGCACTATCGAAGCAAGAGTACAATGAGCGAAGGCATGAGCGAAGAATATATAGCGAAACTACAGTGGTAACGGTAATGGACTGTGGTTGTCGCGTGACGGGCCTGGGACTGAGGTTGGGAAAAGTGTCGAAGCGGAGGCCCGGAGCGCGGGTTATTCGCCGAGCCGTGAGGTCGGGGTGCGACGTGCGAAGATGGCGGGCGGATTGTCGATGCGAGGATTGCGGGTGGTAACGGTGCTGACTGTGGTGCTACAGTGATGTACGCGTTAAGCAGAGATGCGAAGTAAGGAAAAGGGATTTTCCTTACACTACCCCCCCCCCTAAGGAGGTCCTCCTTACGAGAGTGCGTGTACATCCCTGAAATTTCGGCTGCGCAGATACTCGGTGAGGACGGGGTGGTTTTCGATTCTGTCTAGGGGAACCCAATTGTCTTCGGTGGGTGTACGGTCCTTCCAGCGGAGTAAGAACTCGATCCTTCGGGCTCCTCGAGGGTCGCGAACTCTGTGACTCAGGATTTTCTCGGGGGTGATGATTGGTTCAGTCGGTGGTCGTGTCATGCTGGCTGGGCGATTGCGTGGCAGTTGGCTCGTGGACGGGACGTAAGGGCGAAGCAGGCTGACGTGGAACGAGGGGCTGACGTACCAGTCAGCAGGGAGGAGGAGGTGGGCGGTGACAGGTGTAAGCATGTGGCTTATTCGAAATGGCCCGCAGTATCGGGGGCGGAGTTTCGGGGTGATGGGCAGTCGGAGATTTTGGGTGTCGAGCAAAACTAAGTCGTCGGGCTGGTAAGTGACAGTGGCTGGTCTGCGGTGGCGGTCGGCGTTGCGTTTAGCGATGATGTTGGCTTTTTTAATTGCGTCTGCTGCCCTGGTCCGTGCTGCTTGCAAAATTTCGGCGAACTGTTGCGCGCGTGGAACCGGGTTGTCGGGATTCGGGGTCATGGGTACTGTTGGGTCTTGTCCGTAATTCAGGTAAAACGGTGAC